CGTCAGCGGCGGCCGGGGTGGTGGGAGCCTAGGCGCCAGAGCAAGATGGCGGCGCGAGTACTGCACGCCCGCGGAGCGGCCTCGGCCGGCGGTGTCCTCCGGCGGGCCGCCCCCTGCAGCCTCCAGCCCGCGCTCCGGTGAGCAGCGCCGCCCTTTCCGGGAGCGGCCGGGGAGTGGCCGCCGCGGGGCGGAGGGCGCGGGGTCCCCCGGCGCGGGTCTCCGCCCCGGCCCGGCAGCGCTCCCTCGGGCAGGGCCGCCGGGGCTGCGGGGCGGCGGCTCCGAGGCCGCGGTCGGCCCGGCCGGGGCGGGCGGGAGCCTCGGCAGAGTCGGAGCGCGTTCCGGGCTTGCCGGGCTCAAGGTCACGGCGGGGACGGCGCTCGGTGCCAAGGCCACGTCCGCGGGCCGTGCGGGCCCGGCCTGCGGGACCTTGACCCGGCGCCACCCGAGCGGTGGCCGAGGGCGCGCGCGCGGCTGAGGCCCCAGGCCCTGGCCTCGGCCTCCGGCTTCTCGCGGGCGCCCGGGGAAGGCTGTGCGTCCGCGCCAAGCCTCGATGTCTGCATCTGCAAATGGCAGTAGAGATACTACTTAACCTCTAAGGTGGTGAGGAAGAAATAAAATAACTCATCCGGGGTGAGCCCTCAGGGAAGCGCAAGGGAGTAGTGGGGAAGTCTCAGCACTACGAACAGTCTGACTTGCGTTGAAAAGTAGGTAACGGATCAAAAAGTATTTACAAGTTATCAGCACTAAGTAGGCGTTGGGCTCAAGTTTAAACTTCTTCAAAACGCTTTGGATTAAATACTCGGTTTAATTCATCCCTTTGACATCCGTTCTTGTTTTCCACGTTCAAAAACCAACCTCATACTGACTTACACGTAGATCTATCTGACTTTCTTGTTTTCTTTACATTGGATAATTTAAACGTTATCTGTTTGTGGTTAAATAATGAGCCTCTAGAAAATTCACTTGTCACTTAACGAAAGAGTAAAGGGACTGCCTGTTTGTTAAACTCTTACTATGAGCCAGAGAGTTTATTTAATCTAATCCTAGAAGCAGTCTTAAGTAACAGGATCTGCATTTTACAAACGAGATGGAACCTCAAAGAGGGTGAGACATCTAGCTAGAAAAGACATTTGAACTCAAGTTTATCAGGCCCAGCACCTTTCCTAGGACTGATGCCCAACTTGTATTTCCAAATTTGATGTGTATGTTTCCAAGTTGATTAACAAATCAACCTCCTTTTTTATTCTGTTATTGAGCATCTACTGTGTCTTGTTTTTTTTTCCCACACAGGTGATAAGAAACTGAAATTCATATTTTCTTCTTTCCAAAGAGACAGCTGAGGCTGAAGGTGTTCACCCAACATATTCACCTAAAGTGCTCAAAGTCACAAAGCTAGTAAATTGGAGATTTGGACCAGGGTCTGCCCAGTACCCCCACTTCCTGCTGGGGCCAAATGCTCTTGAAACTGAAGCCCAACCTGTTGGCTCTTGGATTACTCTCTCAGGCCCCCTGTATCTTTTGACTGCCTTAACTGTAGGAGTTTTTTGGGACTCAATCTAGACCCAATTAATTCACTGATGCTACACATTTTGAATGTATACGATGTCTTTGAAGTCTTGTGGAACTCAGCTTAATAGCCGTGGTCACTATCCCCAGGAAGCCATGGCAGAGCTAAAAATTCGTATAGACTTAAAGATTGAGGTAGGTGATATGAGAGAAGATCAGGGAACCTACCCCGTGAGATCATGGAAGGCCTCTCCAAGAAAGTGCCATTAAGCTGAGACCTGAACGGTCAGTGTGCAGGAAAGCCCTGACTGGGAAGGAATAAGGCATACCAGGAAACTCCAGAAAAGCCTGGGAAGATGGAACATAGGAGTGAAGGGAAGATGGGCCAGGTGGCAGGGAGCACGAGCCCCATGATTCCAGGCC